GAATGAATAAAACACTTAATTGGCATATGTGTAGTAGGGAATTTGGTTTCACTTAAAGAGAGGTCTGGACTTCACTTTAGTGCTTAAGAGGTAACCTCTAAACTCTTGGAATTTCCCCAATGATAGCAGTGTCTTTATAATTCATGGTGGGCCCCTGGGGACCATACCTGGCTGGTAGTTTATGCCCATGCAGTGATTCATGGTGGGTCTCTAGATAGCTTATGCTTAGCTATTAACTCAGGATGGGAATGGCTACATCAGAAACACCAATCATATGATTAAAGGATTGGGGCTTTGGACCACTGATAACCAGCCTGACCGGGAGGGGAGGGCTGGAGATTGAGTTCAACCATGTTGCAGTAATTTAATCTTGTCTACGCAATAAAGACTCTGGATGCTCAGTAAGCTTCCCTGATTGGCGATATTTCAATGCCAGGTGGGTAACGCAGAAGCTTTGAGTTTGAAACTTATCCTGAATCGCCTCTATGTATCTCTTCCTTTGGCTGGTTCTAATTTGTATCCTATTGTTATAATAAAACTGTAATCTCAAGTATCTTGCTTTCCTGAGTTCTCTGAGTTGTTCTAGTGAATTATTAAATTTGAGGGTAGTTTTAGAAAACCCCTAAACTTCCAGATGGCCTTAGTAGTCTTGGACTGATGTAACCAGTCAGGAGGACTGTGCCTTTCACATGGAGCTTGGCTAACGCCAAGAAGCATATGATATCTAACAGAGCTCCTCTTTTTGCAACTCTGATTTTTCTTTCATGGGATGTTCTTGAAATTAATTCCTCAATATATTACCTCTATAGTCTATAAAGATCACTTTTCATAATGAACCTTCCTGCACACTTCCTTCACAAATTTGTAATAATAATGTAATAACAAAAAAAATAAAGAAAATACTTAGTGTTTAATATTACAGGTGAAAAAATATGAAGCACCAAGAAGTAAATCGATTTGCCCAAGGTTGCTCATTTTGTGATCTGCCAGAGCTGTGATTTGAATGCAATCAGTTGGGCTCAAGAGTCTGTGCTTTTAACTGCTACACCATATACTGCTTTGAATGTTTGCAGTTGGTGTATGACTGGTGCAAAGGATAGCAAAGGATGCAAGTAGCTTTAAGGGGTTAAGGCCAGGGATGATAGATGCCCTGCAATGAACAGGACACAATAAAGATTATATACCATGTTTCCACAACTTTCAAATGTCATGTTGGACATTCATGAGGTGGTAACTTGTTTACAATTACCAATCTCAGAACACCTTACATGTAAGTACAAAGGAGTATTTTTGCAAGGTTTTAATATACTCAATTTTCCAGGAATGCAACTATCAGAAAAAAACAGTTCAATGTTTTGAAAATGTATGTTATTAATGGCAACATTATAACCCACAGCATTTGAGTTGCTAATACAACACACCAGTCTGCATTTATAGCTGCCACGTTCATGTTAGTTCCACTAGTACATATGAGTGACAGCATCATTTAACTACTTCATTACATTTCCAGTGCAGTCATGATCAAGATGTTAACTATTACTTTATTATAAACTAGAGGCCTGGTGCACAAAAATTTGTGCACTCAGGAGGGTCCCTCAGCCTGGCCTGTGCCCTCTAGCAGTCTGGGACCCCTCGAGGGATGACCACCTGCTGGCTTACGCCCGCTCCCTGGGGGATTAGGCCTAAGCTGGCAGTCAGACATCCCTCTGACAGCCT